TATGCTCTAATAAATTTGTTAGTCTCTAACAAGTACTCCTGTTCTTCTTTTTGCGGATACAGACTAACACGGCTGCTACTCTGAAACTTTTTAATGATAGGTACTTCAGTCCTTGTGACCTCACCTGTATTCCAGGAGTTCTCAAAGATAATTGATAACAGTTCCAAGATTACTTCAGCTAGTTCTTTAACTATCTTAGGATGAATTTCATCAGACCCTGATGACTTGACTATATCTAATTTATCTCTGTATTCTTTAAACTGTTCTATCCTTATTTTGGCTTCTGTTCCTTCCTTCTTGTTGTTGATATTAATTGTGTGAGTATTTGGTCACCATTAACATTTTCAGTGAAGAGTGAAGCAAAATAGGCATTAAACACCTCAGCCTTCTTGATGTCAGTCATTACTACATGGGCAGTGCATGACTCCTGCATTTGGGCAGGCTAGGCACGACCGGAAGCTCCCAAGAAGTGGGGGGCCCCACCCTCTGCTCTGTCCCAAGGCCCTGCCCACACTCCACCCCTGCTCTGCCCCTAGGCCCTGCCCACACTTCACTCCTGCCCATCTCTTATGTTTCTTCACCCACCGCTCACTCCTCTCTGCCCCCTTCCCCGAGGTCCCCCCTGTGATGGGTTGGATCACAGAAACCCCCTTGGGAACTGCCAACTGATGTGCCAAGACTACTTCTGCCCCTGTTTTCCTGCCCTGGCAGCTTGGGACTTCAGTGCCCTGCCTGGTTTGAGCCAGACCCACTGGCCTGCTGCAAACCCAGACCCAGGTCTGAGCCACGTCCCTTAACAGATGTAGGCTTAATTGAAAGCAGCTTAAGAAGTGTTCCTGTCTTTAACACTCAGATGCCCAACTCCCAATGGGATCCAAACCCCAAATAAATCCATTTTACATTGTTCGCCCTCTCTAACACTGATAGAGAGAGATGCACAGCTGTTTGCCCCCCCCCCCCAGGTATTAATACATAGTCTGGGTCAATGAATAAGTAAAAAGTGATTTTATTAAATACAAAAAGTAGGATTTAAGTGGTTCTAAGTAGTAACAGATAGAACAAAGTGAATTACCAGGCAAAATAAAATAAAACCTGCAACCCTATGCCTAATCCAGTAAGAAAACTGAATACAGATAAAATCTCACCCTCAGAGATGTTTCAATAAGCTTCTATCACAGACTGGATGCCTTCCTAGGCTGGGCACAATCTTTTCCCCTGGTACAGCCCTTGGTCCAGCTCAGGTGGTAGCTAGGGGATTTCTCATGATTGCAGCCCCCTTTGTTCTGTTCCACCCCCTTATATGGCTTTGGCAAAAGGCAGGAATATTTTGTCTCTCTGGGTCCAGTCCCGCCCCCTTCTAAATGGAAAAGCACCAGGTTAAAGATGTCACTGTAAGACTTCATTACCCACTTGCCAGCACACACATATACAGGAAGACTTACAGGTAAAACAGAGCCATCTACAAACAATTGTCCTGGTTAATGGGAGCCATCAACATTCCAAACCACCATTAATGGCCCACACTTTGTATAATTACAATAAGCCCTCAGAGTTATATTTCATATTTCTGGTTTCAGATACAAGAGTGATACATTCATACAAATAGGATGAACACACTCAGTAGATTATAAGCTTTGTAATGATACCTTACAAGAGACCTTTTGCCTAAAGCATATTCCAGTTACATTATATTCACACTCATTAGCATATTTTCATAAAATCATATAGACTGCAATGTCACACCCCTGCCTGCCCACTCCTCTCAACCTCCTCCCCCAACGCCCCCACCCACCATTTAATAGTTTCATCATCAGCCTGGTGAAGAGCCAGTAGCTCGCCATCAAAGCAAGTTGGTGAGCACTTGTCAAGGATATGTGACAGTCTGACATTGACGACATCTACATGACGGATTGTTAGAGAAACCCCATTTGAAAAGATTGGCCACACAATTACCCTGTCCTATATGAAGCCAGGTCAGGGATGACCACTGGTACCTTGGCAGGTCAAAACTTGGTGGGCAGATGGTTGGGTCAGTGATGAGAGAGTGATTAATAACTGTCGTTGCTGACCACTCGTTATGCTGAGCAGATTTCACCGCCATGCCCTGTGGTGGCATAAGTGACCAAAAAGGGTGTCTAGAAGACAGGTGAACTAGCGGGTGGTTGAACAGGTCTGAGTACAGAGGCAAGTTGCTGTGCTCACAGATCTTGGCCAGGAGCATGATGGTGGCCTCCACATGATGGTGGCGAATATAGAGCAGTGCTATGTTACTAAGTTTTGGCAGCCATGCAACAGAGTTGCATGTAAAGTCCCAGTAACAATGCACATAGCTTTGTTAGCTCTACATTGATCAGCCTCGTGTGAGACAAGTGACCCCAGACAGGAACACAGTACTCTGCTGTTGAACAGCTGAGAGCAAGGGCTGATGTTCTCAGCATCCAGGCACTCACACCCCAGGTTGAGACAGCCAGTTTTCTGAGCAAATTGTTCTGAGTGCTAACTTTGGCTACTGTCTTCTTCAAGTGGTGCATCAATGACCTATCCAATGTCACGCCGGGGTAAACCAGGTTTGGGTCGTGCTGCAGGCATTGGCCATTTAAGAAAATATTTAGCTTGTGGCTTGTGCTTGCATTATGCAGATGAAATACACGAGAAACCATCTTGGAAAAGCTCGGCTGCAGGTGCCATCAACTACAGTAGTCTGCCATGAGTTTCACAGCATCATTCAGAAGCTTGTCAATTTCTGAGAAGCACTGAGCTTGGTAGCCGCAGCAGATGTCATCAGCATAGATAAACTTGGGTAAGAGTATCAGGGGGTAGCCGTGTTAGTCTGTATCCACAAAAACAACAAGGAGTCCGGTGGCACCTTAAAGACTAACAGATTTATTTGGGCATAAGCTTTCAAGGCTGAAAAACCTCACTTCTTCAGATAAACTTTGATGTACACTGAACAGTACTGAGAATAGAACTGAACCTTGAGGAATACAGTTAACATGACACTTCCAGGAACTGAAACAGTCACCCATGAGTACTCTGAACTGCCTATTTTGAAGTAAGAGCTCTACTACTTTGACCACCCAATGAGGGGCAACTCAAGAGCATTTATACAGACGGCCTCTGTGCCAAACTGTGTCATAAGCAACAGTCTAATCCAGGAAGACAGCTGTTGTCTTTAGATTTTGTTGAAAACCATTTCTGATAAGGGTGATCAAGGCTAGACCTTGATCACAGATGCTACGTCCTTTCCTGAACCCTGCCTGATCAACCTGCAAGACTGCATCCAAATCTGGAGCAATTTGTTGAAGGATCAAATGCTCAAACACCTTGAAACGCACTGACAGCAAGGATTTGGGCAGTAACTCACCATATTGCAAGGGTCCTTGCCCGGCTTGAGAATGGCAATAATCTTTGCTTGACACCAAATGCACGGGAGCGTCTTCTCATTAATGACCCATATATAGAAATTAGTGAGCCACAGTGTCACCTTTGATCCAAGGGGCTGAAGGAATTCCAGCAAGGTATTCTCATACCCATTATTTTTCCAACCGACTTCTGGGTAGTTAAAGTCCCCCATTACTGCCAGGCCTTGTGTTTTATATATTTCTGTTATTTGTTCTAGAAATGCCTCATCCCCCTCCTTTTCCCCAGCCCCTACCACAATGTCATCCCTATTTTTTCCCCTTTTATCTTTACCCAGAGGCTCTTAACTGGTCTGCCTCTCTCCTCCTTCTGGACATCAGAACAAGTGTGTATGGTTTTGCTGTATAATGCAACACCACCTCCCTTTTTACCCTGTCAGCCCTTCCTTCCATAGAGAACCAGACTTCTCTATGCCAATATTTCAGTCATGACATTTATCCCACCAAGGCTCTGTGATGCCAATAAAGTCACAATTTACCTTACGTAGTAATATTTCCAATTTTTCCTGTTTATTCCCCATATGCCTTGCATTTGGGTATAGACATCTAAGTTGCCAAGCAGATTTCCCCACTGATTTCCCTCTTATGATCCATGCATTTCCAGTATGTCAGCCTTCAGCAGTGCTGATGCTTCTCCCCTTCAGGGCAGATGACATAGGCGTCTTACACTTCAGCATTGATTCAGGACATTACTCCATGCAGCAAGCTGAGGACATCAGTACTCAGAGACACAGTCTCTGATCATGATTGCAATGTGCCACCTCCTGCCAAACTTGCGTGGGTGCAGATGAGGGTGTTCAGAGGCCTAATTTTGGAAGGGAGAGGCTCTTGTGATAGATCAGCTGAGTGGTGATGGGACAGCAGAGGGCAATGGGGTGAATCTGCAAGGTGTGAATATGCTTCTTGCCGTCCAGCTGGGGAGAGTGAGAGCCGGCCAGCAGGGGCAATTTGGGGGCAATTGGAGGAGGGTTCACAGAGGCCAGGTGCCTAGGGCCCTGGGAGGAATGTGGCAAATGGGGATAGGGTGACCACGTTTGTTGGCTTGAAATAAGGGAGAACCACATGAAAAATAAGGGACAACACTTTATTTTAAGGGACATTGCAGGGAAACACCATTTCTCTTTGCATAGCATGTATTTGTCTCTCAAGTATACACTTCTGCTGCCCTCAAGAATACAATGCAATTGTCATAAACTTCAATTTAATATTTCAAATGGTAAAGGGACAGTCCCTTCAAATAAGGGATTGATGGTCACCCTAAGGAGCAAATCAGTGATTTAAGTGACAGTCCCTTAAAATAAGGGATGGCTGGTCCCCCTAGTTGGGGTGTGCATATCTGTCCCATAGAGCCCTACAGCACTTGCTTCAGCTGTGGCCACCTGGGGCTCTAGAGGGGCTGTGTCAAGCCCATGTTTGGCATCCCGCCCCAAATGAGTAGGGTTCCCACATCCAGGATATAAAAGACTGGGACATCCAGGATGATCCAGAGTCCATACAACTGAACAGCTGACTGTGTGTACTGAGCACCCATCCCAGGTCAGCTGTCTAACAAGGTAAGGTGCTGCTCAGGATACACAATGGTGCGGTGGGGCCCATAGTCATTCTATGAATCCAGGCTGGAGGGGTTGGGGTGCACAAGAGCTGTAGGATTGGGATCGGTTATGTACAAAGCATGCTGCCATGGCAGATGATGATTCTGGTATTGGGGCCTCATCTGGAGCCAACTGAAATCCAAAGCATCTTTACATTGACTCCAATGGGCTTTGGCTCCGGTCCTTATTGGGAGCCAGCAGGCAGAAGCTGGACAAAAAGCTACACCTGCCTGGCAGACAGCTGTCACTTAGGGTCAGATAGAGCCAAACACGAGGGTTTCCTTCTAGAAATGCCGAGCAGGAGGAATTGCAAACAAACACTGACCAGAGCTTCCACTGGGGGCTGTTCTCAGAGTAACAGATAGCTGCGCCTGCCCAGCTCAATGGACTCCTCTGGATGAGCCACCTCAGTCCGAGCACAGGCCCATGGTACTACCACCGGCCTCAGCAACTTGCCCTAAATAGCTGCAGTGTCTTGGCCTTCAATAAGAAAACTTGTCCTAGGGCGCAAATAAGAAAGTGGATGTTTACTAAAGGAAAACACATCCAAGAGCAAACATGGCACCAGCACCCAAAGGAAGAAGGTAAATGAACCAGCTGAACTGTCCAAGCCAGGGAATATTGTCTGATTTGCCCCAGTGTAACAATAGCATCCTACATGGTATATATCTCTGTATAACTCCTTCCTCCTTGCATGTCACTGTTGAACCAGACTTCATGGGAGCAAGTGCTAAAGGGGAGGGAAATGTAATGAAAAGGTACGTGACTTACGTAAAAAAAACCTAATGTGCAAGAATTGGAGAAAATGAATTAGTGCTGCCCTCTGCTGGTGTGATGGTGCTTGGCTCCCTGGGATAATATGATTTTTGATGGTAGGGCTAGTGGCTGCTATAAAGATGAACAAAAGACCCTGCATTTTGAGGACCTGTCTTTCCATAAAGGCCCTGGGATTCACAAGCTGTCCTCCTCCCTTTCTCCAGCAGTAGGACTTGAATGGGAGGAAAAACACCAGCAGTCCAGTTCCCTTTCCAGCCAAAGGATCTGATGGGGAAGCAGTGCCTGGGAAACAGTCCTTACAGCAACTATGGGGGTGGGCTTGGAAGGTGCGACAGTTCCAGGTTGGGAGGAGTTGGGCGTGTCATTCCCCAGCACTAGATTCAATCTCTCATTTGTTTATTTTGAACATTGCAGTGGAGTCGCCCTGTGAAATGAAGGAGTGCCAGAACGGCGGGCAGTGCCAAGTGGCAAACAAGACAGCGGTGTGTGTGTGTCAGGCAGGATATACAGGAGACTCCTGTGAGATAGGTAAGAAGCCAATTGGATGACCACATGTTGGAATGGCCTCAAGTGAGAGGTGAAGTTTTAGGGTGACATCTCATATGTTCCACTTGAACTGAGGTGAATTTATGGGCCTCCCAGCAGGTGTTGGATTGTGCCCACGGAGGTACAGTTTTTGGAGGGCGAGGTTCTGTATTGTTATTGTACATTTAGTTGATTTTCAACTCCATCCCTGCACACCTGGGTCCATATAGATTATTACTCTCCTCTGAAAGCATTCACAAGGATCTTAGAGGAAATAAAGACGTATGTGTAGGTCAGAGATGAGACCACACCTAATACCAGACAGGTCAATGGTGAAAGTGGAGTGAGCTAGACCAGGGATCGGCAACTTTGGTATGCGACTCGCCAGGGTAAGCACCCTGGCGGGCCGGGCCGGTTTGTTTACGTGCCACATCCGCAGGTTCAGCCGATTGCAGCTGGCACTGGATGCATTTCGCCACTCCAGGCCAATGGGGGCAGCAGGAAGCGGCAGCCAGCACATTCCTCGGCCCGCGCCACTTCCCGCAGCCCCCATTGGCCTGGGACGGCGAACCGTGGCCAGTGGGAGCCGCGATCGGCCAAACCTGCGGATGCGGCAGGTAAACAAACGGGCCCGGCCCACCAGGGTGTTTACCCTGACGAGCCACGTGCCAAAGGTTGCCGATCCCTGAGCTAGACCAAAACGTGGCTATGAGGGCAGAGATAAAGAAGTACACTAGAAGTGCACTTAGGGGGAAGGGATAGCTCAGTTGTTTGAGCATGGGCCTGCTAAACCCAGGGTTGTGAGTTCAATCCCTAAGGGTGCCATTTAGGGATCTGGGGCAAAAATCTGTCTGGGAATTGATCCTGCTTTGAGCAGGAGTTTGGACTAGATGACGTCCTGAGGTCCCTTCCAACCCAGATATTCTATGATTCTATGACACATGAAGCAAGCATCTGGGAGTTGGAGGAGGGCAGAGTTTGTTTACGTGCCGCATCCGCAGGTTCAGCCAATTGCAGCTCCCACTGGCCTCATTTCGCCGCTCCAGGCCAATGGAGGCAGCAGGAAGCGGCGGCCAGCACATTCCTAGGAGAGAGTGCACAGGTCAGAGACAAGTCAGAAATCTAGAACCTAGCAGATACGTTCAACTGGAGGAGGAGCTGGAGAAGAGATCTAGTCCTAAGGAGATGCACACACCTGGAGTTGGAGTCAGAATAGGGATAGAACTCCAGGAGAGGGTTTGCCTCTCTATATTTCCAGTGGTAAGAGACAGAGCTCCAGCAGGGGGCCTTAACCACATCCATAGATGTGCGTGTTGGGTTTTAGCTGGTCCTGGAGCCAGGGTTAGCCCTGAGCCCCTTGCTGTTCTTCCCCTACAGAAATAAATGAGTGTGAATCCAGCCCCTGCTTGCATGGGGGGCGCTGCATCGACCTGGTGGATAACTACACATGTGTGTGTGTGGAGCCCTTCGTGGGACAGCGCTGTGAGACAGGTGCCCTTCTCTTATCTGCCCACGGCAACAGCCCCTGTGTAGGGCTGGGATCAGTCCATGGCTGACCCTTCGCCGTTCCTGCCTGCCCATGTGTGGCTGTCCCTCCCCAGGCTTCATCCAGCCATGCTCTTAGCACTCCTGAGTCAGCGGGGCTGAGCCGAGGCTCCCTCTCTCCCACTCCAGACCCCTTGCCGTGTGAGGATAGGAGCTGCAGGAACCGGCAGACCTGTAACTACATCCGCCCAGGACGCTACATCTGCACGTGTTCGCCGGGTTACTACGGCAACAACTGCCAGTACGGTAAGCTCTGCCTTGCTCCTTCCCCCTCAGCTGAGGACATGGGGCTTGACTCTGAGCAGCTTTGTGCTGCTCCCGATGGAAACCCCCTTGGGATTTATGCTGGGCGGGAAGCCCCCAGACAGGACAGAGCTCTATGTCACACCACCTCTCAGCACTCGGAATCAGGCCTGGCCAGGGAGAAGGAGACTGCCCGGGCAGTCCCCAGCCCTTGGGGTGCTCTTGGCAGCAGGCTGTATGCCATGGATTGGATCAGCCCCCAGCTGACCTCAGGGGAGCACAGAAGGGATCCTCCCCAAGTCCTACCCCAACCACCACTCAGGGGAGCAAGCAGCAGATTCGGTAGAACTCCCCCTGGACCGTAACAGGAGCTGAAGGTGCAGGGCCAGGTGTCCCACAGAGGGACTCATCTGAAATGCGCCATTTCACCAAGGCTCCTGCCAAGCCACTTGTGGGAAACGATCGCAAAAGGGCTATGGCCGGGGTTCTCAAACCCCTCAGGGGGTCACAAGGTTATTAAGTGGGGGTCATGAGCTGTGAGCCTCCATCCCAAACCCCACTTTTCCTCCAGCATTTATTATGGTGTTAAATATATTAGAAAGTGTTTTTAATTTATAAGGGGGGATCACACTCAGAGGCTTGCTATGTGAAAGGGGTCATCAGTACAAAATTTTGAAGTCAGCTGGGGGCTGATCCAATCCGTGGCATGGCAACCAGTCTTTTCCAGCAGGACCTGCCTGGCTGTTGGAGCTGACCCTGCTGGCCCATCTGACCAGATTCATCTCTGGAGTTACTCCCATTAACATCCTGGAGGGATACTGGGGAGTGTTTTGGCCCCTCCATAGCTTAAATGACTGACTTTTCCTGCCCAGTCTTTCACTGATGTTCACTCTTTGCAGGTGGGCCCAGAATGCCAAGTGCTTGTCTCTCTAGTCCATGCCAGCATGGTGGGAACTGTCTGGAAACCGAACAAGGCTATGTCTGTGAATGCCCAGAGGGCTATATGGGCACTGACTGCAGAGACAGTAAGTAGCAGAGGTGGGGGTTTCTCGAGCCAGAGGTTGATCTCTGGATAGAGTTTTTCTTGGACAGTTTTACTGTTACATTTGAGAGCAGGTCAATTAGATCAAGGGTTGATCAGAGTTCAGGATGTGCACAGACAATCCAGGAAGTTTTTGGGAAGTGTAGGGGACAATTTCCTGGGGCAAGTGCTGGAAGAACCAACTAGGGGCAGAGCTCTTCTTGACCTGCTGCTCACAAACAGGGAAGAATTACACTGCTCTACAGCCAAAATGCTTCTGAAATAAATGTAGTCA